ATGAGTGAGAACACGCAGTGTTTGGTTATCTGTTTGAACATGCCTTTGCAAGGTAAAGTTAGATGGGATACAGATAGAACTGCACAAGGAAGTCAGAAACTCATCCTCTTCTCACATAGGCAGAGAAAACTCATCAAAGCAACAAGTAGGCCACACCTGCCGGCCTCACCCCAGAGCCAGACAAGCCCCTGAGATGATGCTGCCAGCTGAGAGGACATTGTCTACAGAGGAAGCTGACATTGATATTTCTGAGAACAAAGAACCGAGATGATCCTAATTCCCATTATAACATTTCTCTTCAAGGTCACGATATTTCTCTTGTCTTCCTAAATCTTTTGACCTTACATATATTTGGTTCTTATTCTTTTTTAAGGTGTGTGAAATATCCTAACTTTTGTGATCCCAAAGCAGCCTGTGTAGAGGCAGATTTCAAGCTTAGCACACTGAGTGTGGTTACATGTTTATACATCACCCCCCCCATCGACCAAGCCCATTAGCAATTTGAGACAGTGACAGGGACTTACTTGTCTGTGAGCCCCAGAGCCTGATATAGGGCCTGACAGGCCTTACGTGTCTCATGAATGCTGAATGATTGTTCCCAGGAAGATTAAGGAGAGGAAAACACTAAACTGTAAAGCCGTAACTTACTGATTTGTATGTCTGCTACTTTTTAATGTCCTCTTACATATCTGTATCAATATCTATTAACTAAAATGATATGCCCAAAGAATCCTGAAAATCAAATTTTTTGAAGTACTAGTTACTGCATATTTTTAAGTGGGATCTGCTTTAGTACATCTCAAATTATAACATTTAAAATCTTAACAATGGACGAAAAATCGCCTATCAGGTACAGTGGGCACAGGTGGGAGTGATGGGTGCACTAAAATCTCAGACTTCTTCACCACTATACAATACAACCGTGTAACCAAAACCCATTTGTATCCCCTATAGCTATTGAAATAAAATTAAATTAAACAGTAATAATACAGAACAAAAGCCTGATTAACTTTTCAGGTGGGCTTGTTTCTTCCATCTTATGCTTGGGGTTCACTGTCTGTGACATGTCAGCTCTGACTTGTGTGTGATTTTAGATTATCTTACTTTCCAAGAGTTGTTTTATGGATTGACTGAGATGCCTGTAGTTCATACTTTGATTATTGTCTTCTATGTTATGTTATGATCCTGAGTGTAATGATACCAGTTACTACTTTTCAGGGAAAAAAAGCTTAAATTTAAGTTAGCAAAGTTTCTTCTAATTGAATGCTTTGGTGCTAGGCTGAGCTCTTCCCCAGGTCTTAGTGAAAGGACAGTTGCCTGAGTCAACAGTCTCCAAAATGGGTTCACACACCTCAGGCTCGTGAATGATCAAGGCAAAAGAAAAAAAAAAGACAATATTATACTATCTTAGGATAAAGCTAAGATAAATAAACATTGAAATTCATGCCCAACAATTCCCTTTTTTGGGGAATATGCTCGGAGGAACTCAAATCATTGCATGAAAAAGATACCTGCACACACATTTATTGCAGCATTACTCACAATAGTGAAAACATGGAAACAACTGTGCTGCCCATAGAAAGTGGACTGGATTAAAAAAAATGTAATATATATACACAATGAAGTGTTACACAGTCATAAAGAAGGAAAAAATTACGAACTTCACGGCAACTTGGATGGATTTAGCATTTATAAGACTAAGTGACTCAGTGATCTATCACAGAAACAAAGAACCGAGTACCACATGTTCTCACTCATAAGTGGACCCTGAACATTAATCATAATACTATAAGAAAGGGATTGGCAGTACTGAGACACTGCCAGAAAGGGGGACACATAACATCAATAGGGGTACCTGATCTCAAACCAGATGATGTGGAGACCAAAGGAAGGTCCAAACTTTACCTGTAAAATGACCACTTATCTACCTAATCCTGAATTGTACTCACATTTTTAAAACAAAAAAAGAAATTGATGTATTTTTGAACTTTATATATATTTCATAATATAATATAATAACATACTGATGTAGTAATTTAGATATATAATGTATAAATTAGCATAAAATGCATGGTAAATTTTTGAACTGGTAGAATGTGTAAGCAGATACATCTAGAAGCCTCTGCTCTAAGCATGGATGTGTCTGAGAGGTAGTTTATCTTTATCAAGGTTCATGTCCAATTTGAAAGGGTGTAAAAGTCGGGTTCCTCCCAGCTCTGTGCAGTAGTTTTGTGTCATTCTGGTTAATGGAAAGAATATGGAAGGGGTGTGTGGCCCCACTGTCAGAAATGACACTTTATTTGGTACTTTCTCTCAAAAAAGGGCTCTCCAAGTCAGTGCAGATTTTTTCCTCACTAGGGAGAATTCTTGAGTATAACTTGAGATCACTGATGAAGAAACCAAAAACTGAGCCTTATTCTTGGGCTGACTCCAACCCAGACTTTGCAGTCAAGACACACTGTTAGATTTCTTGACTTCAAGGTCCTGGGCAATAGGCAGTTACTGTTTTTTTCAATGGCCTGCCTTGCCAAGAAAACTGGTAAGTTCTCCATAGCCTCTGGCAGTCTATGTTGATTGTAGGGATGGGGTGTGGATTATACATTGTTGTGTACAATTACCTCCTGGAATACAATGCATCTTCTTTTAGACATCCCAGGGAGATAATTTGGACATAATGAAGATCTATAGTAATCAGATAATTACTATCGATTGCTCTTTAGACGTCTTGATGAGGTAATTAGGGCATACTGGAAAGAAGTTGGAACTGATTGATTGGCATGACTGTAATCTCAAAGATTTCTAATTATGTTTCTTTTCTTCTAATGGCTTATAAACAAACATCATTTTAGCTTTAGAATTTGTCAGGTGCCAGGTTCACTGGGAACATCAGCTTTCTCTATTATGCTAACTAGACACTGAACATGATCAACATAAGCTCATTATGCCTTCCTGCTGAAGCAGAAGAAATTGCAATTAACTCTCACTTTTCTTCTTCTGCATTTCCACATGGATTCTTGTTGAGGAATGGGGTGTGCAGAGTTGTGGAGGGTGTTCCGTGAGCAGCACATGTGACTAGATGGGTCTGTATGGCTTTCTGGAGACCTTCGGAGGCTGCTGAGCTCTGGCACAATGCAGCGACACAACGAACGTGTCAGGATGGCCAACTGACTATGACTGGAGGCAGACTGACTGCTCAGGCTCCTGTCACAAATGATAGCTACTCATCAACCAGCAACGTGACATAGTGGTTCAATACTCCCCGGCAGCGGGACCACACACTTCTTGACGTCAGTGCGCTGTTGCCTTCCATTAGGCACTAATTAGAGGAGTCCCGGTCTGAGACTACATTCCACATTATCCTCATCTTTTTTGCACCTTATAGGACCTTGCAGCAGCTTGCCTTGTTCAGAATAGTGGCCTGACCCAAAGATGATGGATGTGAAGGATCACTAAAGAAGCAGTTTGAAATGAGCTGCTTACATCTAATCAATGATGGTGGGAGGCACCACATTCTAGACCACACGTGTCTGGGTTAGAATTCATTCAACAAGTGCAAAGTGGATGCATTTCTGGATATGAGGCAATCTGATTCTCATACTTGAAAACTTCCACTGTGACCCACTCAAGCTGGGTATCTTAGTAGGTGCACCATACATGTGTGTGGCATTTTGAATGGATACCTGGCTTCTTGAACTTTCTGCTTTCTGTTGAAATATCACCAAAGAGGAAAATCATATTTTGCTTTTACATGTTTAATAAAATCTATTATAGTCTGCTGGGCACAGTGGCTCATGCCTGTAAACCCAGCACTTTGGGAGGCCAAGGTGAGAGGACTGCTTGAGGCAGGAGTTTGAGACCAGCCTGGGCAACATAGTGAGACCTCGTCTTTACAAAAAAATTAAAAAGTTAGCCAGGAGTATTGGCAGGTGCCTGTAATCCCAGCTACTTGGGAGGCTGAGGCAGAAGGAACCCCTGAGCCTAGGAGTTTGAGGGTGTGGTGAGCCATAATTATGCCACTGCTATCCAGCCTGGGTGACAGAGGGAGATGCTGACTCAAAAATTAAATAAATAAATAAATAAAATCTATTATATTCCTAGACCCCTATAAGAAAGGTCACAAATTGCCTATGTGTCCATGTCATTAAGACTTTTAAAGCAGGAGGGAATTAATGTGCATGGGAATGGTTTAGGCAGCAAAGGAGACCCAGGATATTTGTTCATTGATAACTAATGGTTTGCTGCTGTTTGGATAATTACAACTGTCTTTGGAAATGCTTCATTAGCACCCATCAACTGGTTTGGAAAATGGAAGGTTACACATAATTTGTCTTTGTGCTGTATCTTTATAGCGTAAGTAAATGACATAGCAAATCTGTTCATCGGCTACAATTCCTGAGCAATAAGGTGTTCTTCTTGAAATTTGAGTAACTATATAGTTCAGAATTTAATTCATAATTTTAATTTCTATACCTGAAGAAACTATACAAGACTGAATTCAAAATCTAAAAGAGGTTCTATGTTTTTGTGTGTTGGTTGTTTTTATCAAGTTTTACACAGGGGTATATCATTTAGTTATTTGCCCCTTTCCTTAAAAGTTAATTGAAAATCTGCTTTCTTGTCTGTTTATCTATATTTCTACCTATTTTTTTTCTTTTATTTGGAGTTCTTCTAGTTTGGAGCTCTGATTGTTCTTTCCCCATATTTGACTAAGTACTCCACTCTTTGGTTGATAAGGGCAGACTGTACTCAATGTGCACCACAACAGCACAATGTATGTAGATTGCCAAAAAGAGTTTGTCAATGGGGACCAGTCTCCTACAAAATGGGAGGGACTTCAGTTGGAGGGTCTCAAGGCTGCCAAAAGCAGATGTTCACAGTGTTGCACAAGTTAGATATGCCATCCAGGAGGCACAGTGAAGAAACGTACTCATTGGATGGCAGCACCAACAGGAGTGATGCGATATAGTAACATGCTTTTGTTTTGGGTCATGTCTTTCTAGGAAGTTTTACATCTTGAGAAACAGATGGGAGGACAACTTCTGGAAGAACCTAAGGCTCTTCATTTTAAAGGCAGTACCCACAACCTGCGTCTGTCAATTCATGACGTCATCCATTCTCTCTGGAAGAGCAAATTGCTGGCTAAATATCAGGTAAGGTCCCATGCTGAATAAAGGGCCTGGAGACAGCCTCAAGAAAGAGGGCTAACGTTACAGAGTCAGAGGAAATCCCCTTCCTTGAAATTAGTCATATTGATTTGTTTCTCCATATAGTTTGGGGAAATTGTTTCTCCAAAATGGTTTGGGGATTTTTGAAAAATTCTTTACAGACATATTTGAAGAAATGCTTTTAAAAATTCTCCTTTAAATAACTGTGCTATCACTTTCGGGGTCAGACATGCTGACTCATGCCTGTAATCCCAGCACTTTGGGGGGCCAAGGGGGGAGGATTACTTGAGTCTAGGAGTTCTAGACCAGCTTAAGCAACATAGCAAGACTTCATCTCTACAAAAAAAACCAAAAAAATCAGATGGGCGTGATGTTGTGCCCCTAAGGTCCCAGTTTCTCAGGAGGCTAAGGTGGCAAGATCTCCCGAGTTCAAAAGATTGAGGCTGTGGTGAGCCATGATCATGCCATTGCACTCCAGCTTAGGTGACAGCAAGAGACTCCAAATCTTAAACAAATGAATAAATAAATACATAGTAAAAGACTTCCCTCCATCATTTCAATTTATTTTCATAGTAAATGTTCACATTGATTGGTAAAAACAGCCTCAGATGCGTTCACAGAAAAAAACAGAGGGACATTTTACCCCATGTGATACAAATTAGGCCTCAGCCTTGCTAGGCCAGTACCATTACACTGAAAAATTAGAAGGAGCCCCAGTTTGGGAACTGAAATAGCATGTAAAAGTAAAACCTGGTCAAGATTTTCTTAAAGAACAGGCAAAAAAAAAAAAAAAAGCTAGTCCCAAGTCTCACTGTATGTACATGTGAGAAACCCCAGACTCCTCCATCCATCAGCTTAGGTTCTCTGGAAACTATACTGATGGAATTGCCAGCCTCATACCCAGCCCTAGGAGATGCAAACACATTTAGAGAATCTGTGACTCCATGTTTATCCACAGGCAAATCCAACCCAAACCCCATCACTGCAGCTGAACTGGTTGCTATTTCTGATGTAAATCAAGGAACAGATCAGAAGGACTGAAAAGAAGACTTTTCAGTTCCATTCTTACTTTCGCATGTCAATTCTTACACGTGAATTATGGGAAAGAAACCTACTAGTCTGTTAAGCATCGTGAGCTCTGACGGGGGTTGCATGCCAGACTCTTCTATAGATAACCCAGTCCTTGATCGAGAGATCTGGCTTTTGACTTTCTCATTACATCTCTTCCTTTGCTTTCTTCTTTCCTCTATGTTGCAACTGTCATAAAATCCCACAGATCTCCCCCTTTTAGAAGTAGTTTCCTTTATACAATCATAATGGAAAATACTAATTTGGTAATAGTGATATGATATTAGTTAAAACTCACCCTGGCTGAACACTTGCCAGCTGTGGACATTCTTATATACTTTGACTTATCTCATTTAACTTGAGCAGAACTACAAATTAGATATTCTTTTGCAGATGGGAAAACTGAGGCATAGAAACATTAAGTAACTTGCCCCAAATTATCAAGTAAGTGTGGAGAGGGTGTTCTCATTTGTACTGAATCGAACCGCTTTTGACCACCACATTCTCCCATGTTTTAAATGTATCAATCTTTTCTTTTCTTTATTGAAAACAGATTCTAGGATGGGTTCTGGAAGGCAGTCTAAACTTTTAGAAAATAGAAGTCTGTTTGGAGCTTGATACTTTTTAGGCCAAGGACTTTTTTTGTGACTGGAGATTGAGTCTGCTGTTTCCCGGGTTTTGGCTTCCCCTGTCCTATGCAGGGGGGAGAGGGAAGCATAAAAGGCAGCAGTGTCTGTGCAGGATCCTTTAGATTTTCTTTGCTTTTCTTCAGAATGTCACGGCAGGGATTCTTTTAATGAGCAATGACTGGTGTTTTACTTTGGGAAATTTTTAAGCTTTTTTTAAAATCATTTGCAATGGTTGTTTTTTTTGTAAATTTTGAGACACGTGGCAGACATGTGTATGATTCTGGAGGCTGACTCCTTAAGTTCAAATCTCAACTCTGCCACTGATTTGCTTTGTGACTTCAGGAAGTTATTTAACCTCTCTGGGCCTCAGGTTTTTCATGAAAAAAGAGGATCAGGATGTGTTTACACATAGGCCTGCTGCGAGGATTAAATGAGATAATATGTGTAATCAGTCCATCCTTTGTGGTTAACACTTTCATATCTCCTAGGAAATTCCTTTTTACCATATCTGGAGTGGCTCTCAAAGAAACCTGCACTGCACCTTCACTCTGGAAAGATTTAGCCTAAACACAGTGGAGCTGGTTTGCAAGCTCTGTGTACGGCAGGTGGAAGGAGAGGGGCAGATCTTCCAGCTAAACTGCACCGTGTTGGAGGTAAGCAGCGCCCGTCTGTCTGAAATCCAGGGAGAGGATGCCACTCAGGAGGAGAGACAGTGCGAGCTCAAAGGGCGCCTCAATCCAGGCCACCCGGGAAGTCCTCAGATGCTTTCTAGAAATCCTATTTGCTAATAGAAGCATACTTTTAATGAGCATGGGGAGCTGGCTGCACAAAGGAATACGGCATGGAATCCTTTTAGAAAAGCTAGGGTCATTTTTTATGACATGAATTCAAGACTTATGTTCTAACTTTTAAAAACATATCCGAATTTCAAGTCTGAGGTTTAATTTAAGTTGCGCACATAGAGCAACTTTCCCCAGAGCATCCTTCCCTCGTGCTTCATTCCGCATCTTCCATCTGTCTCTCCTCCCTTCCTCCCTAATCCCATGCTGCTGAGTGGGGGGAGGGGGTTGCACAAGACAGATGGCCCACTGCCCCTCTCTTTTTCTTTTCTCCCTTTTTTCTCCACGCTGAAAGGAGAAATCTCTTGGTCCCCTTCCTCTCTCATACATCCTTCTCTAAATAGAAAAAGAGATGTCCTTTTCTCCAGGGTGGGGGAATGTTCCAGAAATAGAAGTCAAATTTCCATATTTCCCCTGGTGGCCACCCGTTTTGCCTGCCTTTGCTGGCTCTCTTCACTTGGGCATTTTCATATGTCCACGTTACAGCAATAACAACGATCACTGCTGTTTAAAACTTCTCTGTCAGGAAGGAGGAGTGTCCATGCCCTTCCCGATCTGTCACCTGGGATCCAAAGGCTTGAAAAGGGGTAACCCTTCCCGCTGGAGGATCAAAGGAAACAGAAGAAGCCGGATGGGCAGAAGGCAGCCTCTCTGGGCCCCGCGGAGCTGAGCTCCGGGCTGCTTACTGGGCTCCAAAGCACAAGACTGTCATATGTTAAGACGACAGCAGGCCAATACACGGTTTAAAATACTTCCACTCCCTGGTTGTCTCAAGCACAGTGACGAATGAAATGTCAGTATGTTCAGCTTGTCTTGATCCACATGTTGCATTTAAAGACTATCCTCCTTAGCAAACCGAGTGGGGGGAGAAGCATGTCAGCTCCCACGACACCCCATGCTTCTTTCCCACAGCTCACCAAGGTGCAGGCATCATTTCCTCGTCTCGTTCCGTGAGACTTTTGACTCATAAACAACTTTAGTCACAGACCCTGGTGACATTCATAAGGCATGATCTCAGTGTCAGGGCTCCATGGCAACCGCCAGGCCTGTGGACGCGCAGCCCTATCTCCCAGCACACAGCACCACCCCTGCTGGCTCGGGAGGGTGTTTTCACTTTCCAGGCCCAGCAGGTCTGCAAAGTTCAATAACCACCCAGCTCCAGTGACAACAAAGGCTGTGGAATTTCCGAGGGGGGTGAGGAGGTCTGTGTCTTTGATGCTTGCTTTCTGTTCAGAGTGAACATTTGCTGTGTTGAAAAGGTGGATCAGACGCAGCCTTGAATGAAAGATAGCTGCTCTGTACCCTGCCCCCACGAGGACCACCACCTCCTTACAGAAAAGGGATGGTTTTGCATAGTGTGATCACAATTTAAGGACTTTCTTTCTTGTGCCAACATGGAGGAAAGAGGATTTCTTTTGCAACTTGGCGGCAGTCCGCTCCAAGGCCCATCGGAGGCATCTGCCTGTGTGTGATAGACAAGCATATTTAACTGAGGGAGGAGGAGAAGTGATGGGAGTGGAGATGACTCTGGGGATTAAGGAGCACTCCTAGGCTTTTACTTCTGGGTCACTGAATTCCACCATTGTGGTTAGCATTTGAATGCGGGTGCTGGGTACATGTGTCTGGGTACTGATGTAGGAAAGCCAGACTTGGAACTGAACAACAATGGACTCTGGAGAGTTCTGAGACCCGGATCCTCATCAAAATGCCCAAGAAAGGGTACAAGATGACTGACACACCATAAACAAGAAGAGAAAAGACTCCATTTGTGGTTTCTTTCTTCTAAACAGGACTCGTTCCTAAGGTCACAGGGCAAGATGGCAGGTGGGCTAGCATTCCCATTCCAATGTCCCATGGCCCAAGAATGTACTGACTTGCCAGAAATATACTTCCCCTCCCCCAGTCATCCACCACCCAGTGGCACCCACAAAAAAATTGGCCCAGAACATATTCAATATATGTTCACCATTGGTTTTTTATTTTATTTTATTTTTTATTTTTTGAGTTGGAGTCTCACTCTGTCGCCCAGACTGGAGTGCAGTGGCCGCTCCTGGCCACCGCAGCCTCAACCTGCTGGGCTCCCATGACCCTTCCGCCTCAGCCTTCCAAGTAGCCAGAATTACAGGCATGCACTACCACGTCCGGCTGATTTTTTGATTTATTGTAGAGATGAGGTCTCGCTGTCCAGGCGGGTCTCGAACCTGCGGGCTCAGACAACCCACTCACCTCAGCCTCCCAAAGGCGCGGGATTACAGGTTGAGCCACTGAGCCCGGCTTGTTTTTTTATTTTTTATCTTTCTTTTTTTTTGAGTTGGAGTCTCATAAGGTCGCCCAGACTGGAGGACAGGGGCACACTCATGACCACCGCAGCCTCTACCTGCTGCGCTCAGTCAGTCCTTCCACCTCATCCTTCCAAGTAGGAATAGCTGAACTACAGGAATGTGTGCCACTGCGCCTAGCTAATTTTTGGATTTATTGTAGAGCCGAGGTTTCACCGCGTTGCTCAGGCTGGTGTCAAACCCCTGGACTCGGGCAGTCCTCTCTCCTTGGTCTCCCAAAGTGCTGGGATTACAGGCGTGAACCACCATGCCAGGCTATGTTCACCATCCTTATTGGTACCATTGACACTACTAGGTTAAGGGGACACTTGAGTAAACTGTCACTCTAATCTGTGGGATTAGTCATCAACCAAAATTTCAGATTCCCTTTCTGTCATAATAAATAACAAAATAAAACTCAGTTCCTAAATAAACAAATAAATAAAAATTAGCTCCCAGAAAAAGAAGATGGCGTATATCTTCATTGGTTGATCACAATCTTGCCTTATTTAGCGCAAGACTCTGAACACTGGGTTAGGCACAGCTTGGTGTATGGGGCAGTATTAGTCATCGACTTTAATAATACACTTAGAGATAATAATAGCAATTATTGTAATTTTTTACATTTGCTAGATCTTGTAACCTCTTAGTGGTATGCAGCACTTGTGTGTACACAAAGGATGTTTAAAACATGCAATGTAACATTACTCTGCTAGTGCCATCTCATCTTTTTACCTCTTCTGTTTTCTATAAACTGCTCAAAAGAGAAAACTTGGAAAATTTGGGCTAACACAAAGGCACCAGTAGAATGCCTGGAGGAAAATGTGATTTTTCTAAGTGACTTTAGGAAGAGTCAGAACATGGGAGTGGAAAGTTGTTTCAGGACTGCAGAGTCGTGAAAATGTGCGTCATCACCCTTAGCAGCTGTTTGGTTAATGTTGAAAAATCATATGTTTAACTAAGAGAGTTATAACATCAAAGACAGATGGTGCCAATATCATAAACAATTATTGTAATAAGCATTCTGTGAGAGGGATCTCTACTTTTACCCGGAAATAAAAGAAGAACTAATAGCCACTGAAATTACCAGATGGCATTTAAATGTATATATGTATTTTTCTATTACCTTCAAAGCTGAGGTCAGCCTCCTGATCAGATAGACAAGAAATTATGCCCGATTGAGTTCGTTTCATCTACAGAGAAATAAATAGGCAGAGAAGCTGAGGTTAGAAGACCCAGGACTTTAACGCCCACATGAAATGGTGCTGGTTCTTTATTCATCAAGAAAAGGGGCAACATGACAACCTGAGCAGACTCCGAGGACCCTTGCCTGTCTTTCAGTGGCCTTTAACTTCATGATTAAACAGTGGGGAGAACCAAGCCCTCAGCCACATTTAGTTGGAAAGAAGCCCAACACGCTACTCTATGGGTGAGCTGAGTCCATCAGGAACTGGCTCTTCTTCTTTCTGTACTTGGAAAAAAATTTTCTCTCATTTCAACAAATATTAATTGAGTAGCCTCTATGTGCAAGGCACAGTGCTGAGTATCTTAGGGGGTCTGAGAATGGCAGAAATACTCTCATCTCCATGAAATTTGAGAACTCAAAGGAAGTAACACATAAATACAACCAATATGCACAGGTTCCAATGTGAGGACTGCAGAAGAGCCGGGAAAGCGCCCAGGAGGCCACCAGGAGTGGGCTTGGGGAGGGTTTGTCCGGATCCTCAGGGAACATACCTTTTGGACCAGGCTTTGAGGAGTTTGCCTGGCGGAGATAAAGGAAAGGACAGAAGAACCGTCAGAGGAGCAACCAAATTAGAAATGGCACGAGAAATAGTGAGGTCCTCATACTCTGAGGAGAGGTCAGGTCACGTCAAGGAGAGGGCAGCCTGAGGAAGGTTGGGGTCAGCTTGTAAAGTGGTGGAAGCGCACATGTGGGGGATCCCTTCTCCATGTCACTCTGGGCTTTGCACTTTACATGCACCCCCTTGTGGCCTTAGCCAATGAGGCAGGTCGTGCAAGTATCCCTCATGCTTGGTTAAGAATTGGAACTTCAGCTGGGCTCGGTGGCTCAGCCTGTAATCCCGCGCCTTTGGGAGGCTGAGGTAAATGGATTGCCTGAGCCCGCGGGTTCGAGACCCGCCTGGACAGCGAGACCTCATCTCTACAATAAATCATAAAAAAATCAGCCGGGCATGGTAGCGCATGCCTGTAATTCCGGCTACTCGGAAGTCTGAGGCGGAAGGATCGCCGGAGCCCAGCAGGCGAGGCTGCGGTGGCTTGGGAGCGGCCACTGCACTCCAGTCTGGGCGACAGAGTGAGACTGCAACTCAAAAAATAAATAAATAAATAAAAAAGAATTGGGACTTCATGTAGGAGACGCAGTTGACAAGAGAAAGAGAAGTATTAGTGCATTTGAGGAAGATGAGTCTGGCAGAAGTGTAAGAAGGGTCACAAGTAAACAGCAGAGGGTTACTGTGGCCAATTGTACAAAGACTCTGGGGACAAAAGTCAGTGCTACACAAATGTATCCACCCTCCTCCAACCACCCACCACCCAGCGGCACTCACAGCCATCATTTATGAAACCACGTGGCCCCTCCCTATGCAGACTTTAACCTCCACTGCCACTCAGGGACCATCAGGGAGGTAGTGTATTAAGGGATGTGGTAGGCTTCCTTTGGGCCCTCTGTCATTGTCCAGAGAAATCAGTCAGTCCTCGATGTGGACAATGTACTAAACTGTGGACGTCACATGTGATTTCTTTGCTTCTACTCATGCATTCTTCATTCTATATCTAATATGAGTTTTGGAGCACTTGGTCCAGACATCCCAAACATAAATCCATGGACACATATGACACATTCCCTTGGAACACTCTTCTGGTCGCCTTTAAGTCCTATGCCCCTAGAAGTCAGGAGCCCTCTTTTCTCATTCCCTTGAAAAGAGCTCCATGCTTGATGAAGGTCTCAGCAGTTGCATCTGTGTTTCATGCCCCATCTTGGAAATCCTGGTACATGCCAGAGCTAATACAAAGGAGCCAGTGGACTCCTTGGAGTCTCCATTTTCCAAGCTTTGGGTTTTGAGGCCAAATACTGTGACCCCAGCCCACATTACTGTTTTCATCTAAAAAAGCCCTCCGAGACCATCATGCTAAGTGAACTGTCACAGAAACGAGAACTGAATACTGCATGTTCTCACTCATAAGTGGACCCTGATCACTGGAAACAGGAGCACAAGGATGGGATTGGCAGACAGTGGAAGACACTAGAAGCCCAAACTTCAACTGCATGCAACTTACTTTGTAGTAAATTCTCACTTGTACCCCACAACTCTAAAGTTAAAAATAAAATGTCCGCCACATCCCCGCTGGACCCTGTGCCGTGGAATTATACAAGCCTTGAAGTATGCCTTGGCTGCTGATACTGGGATGTGCCACACACTGCCAGTCAACACTGGAGCCCAGGCTGCTGGGAACCCCGACACCTGCCCACAGTACCTGCACACACGTGATTGGAGGGGCCATTGTAGCAGTGCAGAGCAGGATCTGGGATGCTCAGGGTGACAGTGGCATTGAGCCCCTGAGCTGAGCACTTGGCACAACACTGGCGACTTCATGACAGATGAAATCCTGTTGGCTGGTTCAACCCCAGCAACGAATGATGCACACTAAGGAGTTACCTGCTTATAAGAGAGAGAGAGAGATGGCATTTAAAGTAGATTAAGTAGATTTTCTTTTATTGCTTTAATTGTTCCCAGGCAATATTTGCTTTTGCTTTTCCAACCAGCAAAAGTGATCAGATGATGATTAGAGTTTCTCCTGCAGATGAAATTCAGATTTTGCATTTTTGCTGTTTTATGAGTTGAAACTATCTTAAGAGGCAATTCATGGTTTTCTCTACTAAAATTAGATTTAAAAAAAATAAGAATGTACAGCAATTAGAGGATGCCGTTAGCAGCTCGCCCTAAGGCAGTCATATACTGTGTTTACCATTTTCTTTTAAAAAATTAGTCTTAAGTTGATATCATTTAGAGGGTTCTGTTTCATTCAGCAAAAGCAGAATGGAGCAGTCTTCTGCAGGGGTGTGAGGAGGGATTTACTGAGACATTTGCCTCAGACATTCCCCTCAGGATCAGACAGTTTCCAGAAGCTCTAACTCTCAGCCTTCTAATCGCAGGTCTGTTCATTCTCAAAAAGTTGCCTTTTTGAACACCCCCCTCACTCCCCCCTCTCCCCAGGAATCTGACTTTTTGGGACCAATGATATTTCCTCTCTTATCTGTCATCTTGGAGAATCCCATTGGAAAAACTGTTATTGAATCACAACAGAGCTTTCCACCCTACCCACCAAAGATTCATAAATCCAAGGCTGTGTAAAGTAAGCACCAAATATATGAAACCTCCCCCGCCCCCCGGAGCCAGGTTCCACACAGTGACTCACAACATTCAGGCTAGGAGGAAGCCATTCTCACTGAGGAGAATAACAGCACTCATTCTTTTCTCAGTGCTTTTCGCAGTGCTCAAAGCAAGGCTTTATGTTGATTGGTTCAATAGGGATTGCTTTTGTCTTCAGAAATAATGCTGTGTTGTCCCTGTTCCTGAACAACAGGAACCTACTGGCATTGATTTGCCGCTGCTGGATCCCGCGAGCACCATCACCACTGTCACAGGGCCCAGTGCTTTCAGCATCCCCCTCCCCATCCGGCAGAAGCTCTGTAGCAGCCTGGATGCCCCACAGACAAGAGGCCATGACTGGAGGATGCTGGCCCATAAGCTAAACCTGGACAGGTGGGTACGGTCAGGCTCCAGGACTAGTTTCTACCTAGAACAATTAGACGCAGGGTAGCCTCACTTTTTTCCATCCACACATTGATTTATGTTTTCATCATACAAACATGTATTAAGCTCATTCTTTGTTTCTTGCACTGTGGTTTTGCAAACACAGTAGTGGGAGACATTCTAGGCTCGTTTGAGCTTTGTAAGTATCAAGTTTTGTGATCCACTTTGCAAAGCTGATGGGCTAAATCCCCCTAAATAATATATCCACTCACTACAGTACTTATTGTTCCTTATCTACAATTGAGCAGAACCTAATGTTTAGTGAATAATTAACAGACTAACATGGCATTAATATTAAGTTATAAAGAGACCTCTGGAGCCTCTACTTTGTAGAATGTCGCCGTCACTGCCTAGCAAAAGACCTACCATGACCTATCAAAGATAATCCGAGCCTGGACAGGAGAGAAAACATTAGTATCTTGATTTTCCTATTTAGGATATGACCCATAGACATCTTGTCTCTTAAATTATCTTACTCAGAGTTGAGGTTAATGAAGTTAAGCATCACGTCTCCTGTCTGGGGCTGATCTAATTAAGTATGGGTTAGTTACTTAGGAGCTCACTGTCAACCACAGTGGGACCCAAGAACTTAGAGACAAATGGAGAGACAGAAAGATTTAGCTGAATAAAAACAGAAGAGTCATAAGCCATGCTTTTGAACACATTTTTCCATTCCCAATTCCAGGTACTTGAACTACTTTGCCACAAAATCCAGCCCAACTGGTGTCATTCTGGATCTCTGGGAAGCACAGAACTTCCCGGATGGAAACCTGAGCATGCTGGCAGCTGTTCTGGAAGAAATGGGAAGACATGAAACAGTAGTCTCTTTGGCAGCAGAAGGGCAGTACTGACCGTGCTGGAACTGGAGATGAAGGACGAAAACGAACAGGGAGTCTGTGACCGTCCAGGGGAGTCACAGCTGAGGAGGAAATCCAGACTAGACCCATGAGCTCCACAGGCAAAATGGCAGCAGGAGACAGAAGGAAAACAGAGACAACTACCGATATACATGCCCGCTGTACTCAGACATCATCACAGGAGTCAAGAAAAATCATGTAAATTTATACCTTGAATTTAGATATCAACCTAATTTTCCTCTTAGTTGGGCTGTATGCTGTGTGGTACAGGATCTTACAGTTTCCTAGGAAACGCTTTTTATTGCTATCCAGATACATGGATAAACTTTCTTAACAAACCCAATTTCTACAAATGTTGTTTACATCAAATTGGACAGGGATGCAGACACTGTCCATGGCTTGTTCTATTTTTGTTCAGATCATTTGAAGTTGAAGCTGTGGACGGCTTGTTGTGTCTATTTCAGATTAGTAATTTAGAGAGAAATCACAGACTTTTGCTACAAATCGTGTGCATCAAGTGTCTCAAATAATTCTGCCATCAGTGTTTTGTTTCTAGAACTTGTAAGAACCAGTGTTACTGTCCATATCAGGGAAGTGGAGAATCTAAGTGTAAAAAAGAAATAACGAAGACTCCTCCTCCTTGGAGGGACCCTGCTGGTGCCCTTTGGGAATAAAACTGAAGCATTGCAGGGCCATGTTCAATCACACAAATAAGCAGTTCTTCACAATATGTGTTTGTAATATGCAATTTGGAGTGGTTTTTTTTTTTTTAAAAAAGGTATTGTTGTTATTACCATTATTATCATTGATGAGTATTGACAAGTATTGTAGTAAAAGGATTTTCTTTTAACTTCTCTTTTTGTTAGGAGTACTGTTAGTATTTAAGTATTGACTAGACCTGCCTTACCTTCTCACCTAGCAAGGTGGGGGTGGTGACCAGTTTCATTCAATAGACATTGGTTCCATGACCTTTTACCTTTCCTTCCATCATTCTGCCCTGGAAAAGTAGTACTCATGAATTCTTGCCAGCTCTGTCAAGTTTGTTCTCTCAGCTTGCTCAGGCAGAGTCTCTCTCCTCCAAGTCTCGTGTTCTCTGTGAAGTTCACTTAATATTGCAGTTGTGTGGTCACACATTGACTCCCCATGATGCCCTGTCTACTTAGAGGCAGTGTGGTTGGAGGAACAATGGACGCTGAACTGGAGGTCAGGAAACCAGTTCTCATTCTGGGTTTGTCACTGTCTAGCTGTGCCGCCTTGGGGAAGTCACTTACCCTTACTGGACCTCAGTTTCTATAAAGTGAAGGAGTGAGATTTTGTCATCTCAAGGTTCTCAGATGCTACACTTCCACTGTGATGCCTCCGGTCTTATTTGTCAATCTGAAGACCACAAGGGACTCTGGCTCATATAAATAGTCAGCTGGTCTTTTTCCCAGGCTACCTTATGCCTTTCAAATAGTTCTGACTTGAAAGATAATTATTCTAACCTGCATATTTGCTTGGCTTAAGTCTTGTCTTTGCATTATTATGTTATGCTGTTCCTTTTATTATTTGTTATCCTCTCTTGGGACTCCCCTAGCTTCCTGACTAGTTGCAAATTCTGTTTTATTATTGTCTTGGCCTCTTGACATCAAGTCCACTCCTACAAGTTCATCCAGCGGTAGGAACTTGGTGTGTTTTCTTTTCCCCTTTAATCTTTGCCTTCATAATATTCAGCAGCATTTACAAAGGCTATTTAATTTGCCCTTTAAAAAATTTTTAGCCTACAAAATGTTAGTCAACAAACTACTCTGTGTAAACGCTGACGTTTCCTTGGAGCCATCACAGGCTCTCTGTTTTAACACAAGGAATCGGTTCATTCCGCAGGTGGGGATCGAAGAGTCAACAGGCCAGGAGTTAAACCAAAACGGAACAGCAAGCACCCCTGTGTATGAATCAGTACCTTCAGAACATAACTGTGGTTTACTCAGGGGCTGGAGGTATCCAGATTGCTGACCAGAACTGATTATAAATCATTGCATATATTTTCTTCCACCGTTCCACACAGATTTTCTCTCCTGTTTTAGTGACTTCTGGATATTCCCAGACTCCTCTATCCTCAACATTGAGGAACTGCTGATACCTTGTAACGGAGCCTCTTCTTTCATGCCTTGTATTTCCTACCTTCTGTTTTATACAGATATTCTAGAAAAATCTCTTCCAGGCCATCCCCTGCATTAGGATTTCCATATTTAAAACATTTGCTACATTGCCTGGGGAGGGGAGAGATTGCACTAATAAACAAATTCAGTGGATAAAATGTACCAATGAGTAAAATTGTTTCCTAAATTAAAAATCAACTATATACATATATATGCATATACGTATATACATATATATGCATATACGTATATACATATATGCATATACGTATATACATATATATGCATATACGTATATACATATATATGCATATACGTATATGCATATATATGTATATATATGCATATATATGCATATATACATATATATGCATATATATGTATATATGCATATACGTATATGCATATATATGTATATACAAGGGGGAACCCAAAAAACCCGGAATTATTTTTTCAAGGGGGGGGCCCTTGTAGTAGAAACGTCCCCCTAAGTGTTCTAGGAACCCATTGGCATCTGTGTACCAGCTAGTATTGTTGTGAGAGGCTGCAAGTGACTTCAGTTAATTTTGGGGATGATTCTTTCATCACATTTGCCCATTTCATGATGGGCAATTTACATGAACAACCTCCCCACGCTGCAGTGTTCAGCAGCTTTTGACCAAAAATGTCATGACCCCCATACCCCACCTTCTCTATTCACTCGATCTTACCCAAGCAACTTTATTTTGTTTCCCCGGATGAAAAAAGTCCTCAAAGTGAAATGTTTTGCCGATGTGGGAGAGGTGAAACAAAAAATGGCAGGACCACTAAAAGGCATCCAAATTGACGAGTTCACAAACTGTTTTGAGCAGCGGAAAAGGTATATTGATAAGTGTTTGCATCAAACAGAGAGTACTTTGAAGGTGACTGGTTTCAACATGTAAGAATAAATACACAATTTTTTATAAATGAATTCTAGCGGTTTTTTGGGTCCTCCCTCATGTATCTCTTAAAAGGAGGAGGAGGAAAGCTAGCATTGTCCATGGCTACATCTTGAAATAAACTTAACTCGTCCATATTACTCATCAGCACTGGGGTTGTAGAATCATGTATGGAAATCAAAAACCAAAAATCTGAACTGAAGGCTTGAAGAAATCTCCGTGCCTGGTGAAAAGTCGAGGGAACAACTCTGTAGCTCTAAAGATTAATCATTCCAAAACTTTTATTAACACCTTTGACTAAAAAAGTCACCAACACAGAGATATTGAGCATAACAGGAACCCTTATTACAGAAGTCATTGAGTGTCCTTGGGGTTCACTTAGATACTTGTTTTTTGGTTCTCTGTCCCACCATCAGAAAAGGGAAAAGTGGTGGATTTCCAGTAAGTGGGTTATTCATCTGTCATAGAACTGTTATGCTGTTTATCAAGTGAATGACAACTTCCCTACGTACAATATTTATGTCAAATAATTCTCACTACAAATTCTGATGTCCTTCTCCTTTGTAGTAACGTAATAGCTGTAAGATTGTTCTTCCACTTAGAAGGCCGGGATGCAACAGTTCATTTTACAGGACACCACTTCATCAGCCATTCTGTGTAGTATGTCCTGCTTGTGGGACCAGCTGAGCTTACATCTTTCTTTGGATGGGGGGGAAAACTATCATTTGTGCATGGCGCCATCTAGTGGTGGGAAACACTATCTACCCTGAATTCAATATGAAAACTAAAGTTTGACAAAGGGAATGAATAACTGTAGTGTTCAACAGGACCTTTATGACAGATAGATGTGGAGAAATTTTCACTTCAGATGTATAATTTTCTTATCTCACATTTTTTCACTTAAATCACCCATCTCAAAATTACATGTCATTATGAGTCTAGTACACCAACTCGTTCATAAACAAAACACCTTAAGTTGCTTTTATGTAATAGAAATATGTAAAATACATATAAAACAATCTTTGAAGAGGCGTCATTTTTAACATATGTGGTTTTCTTTCTTTCTTTCTTTTTTTAAGTTGGAGTTTCACTCTGTCACCCAGATTGGAGTGCAGTGGCCGCTCCCAGCCACCGCAGCCTCAACCTGCTGGGCTCCAGCGATCCTTCCACCTCAGCCTTCCGAGTAACCGGAATTACAGGCGCGCACTACCACGCCCGGCTGATTTTTTGATTTATTGTAGAGATGAGGTCTCGCCAAGTTGCCCGGGCAGGTCTCGAACCCGCGGGCTCAGGCAATCCACTCACCTCAGTTTCCCAAAGCGCGGGATTACAGGCTGAGCCACCGAGCCTGGCTCATATATGGTTTTCATTCGACTTTGTATATTTAGATCTCCTTGCTTTTAGTTTCCTAATAGTTATCTTTGGACATGTAAGAAGTACCTGATTAGAAGAAAATGAGCCTTATATATGCAAATGGAAATATTGTGTCTGAGGGGAAAAAATTGTGAATGTTAATCAAAGGAAAAAAGAGCTTTCCTTTCTTCTGAATTTGGAGATCCAAAGGCACAAGTCTCATACTGTTTCATTCTCTTATCACCACACTTGTTCAGACTTTCTTATGTATCTGAAAGGAATAGAAGTTGGACTCGGAATGAATACCTGGCCCATGGTGACGATAAACCTGTGTAACACTGAAGTACTCACAATTAACAGTCTTTTAAAAAACATCTTCTAAAGTGGATATTCATCTCTGTTACACAGAAAACCCCCATCCTCATCAAAGAACAAGTTAAGCTCTTCAAGGGCTGGATGATTTGGGGCATGAGATGCTCAATATTAAACTGCATAATCATAAGCATTTCCATATATACTATTATTTTATAAATTCTAATTAATTATCAAAAAGTAGAGCTATTCCTAAGAAAAAGTCATGGGAAATGAGTTCAGGATACTCTAGAAATGGCACACTCAGTAATTTTTTTTTTTTAAAGTGTTCCTCCTAGAAGTAAGATCTCTTACAAGTAAATGTTCAGAGGATGGGATTGAGGCATTTCACCTCCTCTGGGGATGAGCATACAAGGTTGTTGCCTCATGTGTCCTTCTGTGTGGTCTTCCAGGGACTCAGCAGCTGCACCCTTGGTCTGCTTACTCCTCTGTAACCAACATATGAGAAGGAAATCAATATATTGATTGCCATCTCCCCGGAACCCACAGGCCTTTGCCTCTATAAGGTCTGCCCCTATGGGGCCAAGCAAATTTAAAACTATATATGGACCTGCAAGAGAATATAAAGAAGGTAGAACAAGTTTACTTGTTGAGTTTCCAAGTCTTCAAGTTGAACGTGAGTGTAGCTTTGGCCGAGCAGTTGTTCTAGACAAGTCGTCAGTTCACCTGGAGCCCTCAGTACAAGTCCAAGGCTGATGAGAGTGAGAAGGGCCCTGGAAATAGCTGAAATGAAATCGGGCTTTATCCATCTTTGAGAATGGAAGAGGTTTTGTGAATCAGAACACCATTGCTCAAAGTCAGTTCTTTGTCAAGATGACAATGATCAATGAGCATTAGATTTTTATAGATCTAGTAAGGAAGAATATTTTATTATTGATTATCTCAACTTAACAAAACATTTTTTAC